GATTTTAAGGTCTGGCATTTTTGGCCAGAGGAAACTACTACATACACGTGTGATAAATGTATTTATTCAGTTTGTCCAGCTACACACTCAAGCAGCACTGATCTAAAAGAAATAAAGAAGATATACTCTATTTGCTATAAAACAGGAATCTTTCCTCCCTTAAGTTCTGAACTAAACACAAAGGTCTTAACCTGTTTTCTATTCTCAGTGTATGTTTAATTTAACACTTCTTATTCAATTGACAGTTCTTGTACCAATACAAGCTAATCTCCTGAATTTCCTTCTAAAGAAGACAGTAGTGTGTTAGCCATGTTGTTCCAAGTTTTTTTAACTTGTTAATTTAGTTGCTATAAGGCTTAAAGCTAAACTGTTGTTTAAGTGGTTTGCTGGATTGGTGCCTAAATCCTGTCTGTCAGTCCAGACAGAAGATATAAGTCATCTCATCAACAGATGGAGACAGAATAAAAGACAAAGCTCTTGTAAGATCAGATCCCTACAAAAGGGACAGGACAGCTCACTGTGATCAGTCAAAAATTTCCCAAGCAATCACATTACAGAAGAACAGTTGCTTCATTATGGCTAACAGTGAATAATACTTTCTTCTTACAGCATGAGTGCTCCAAAATCCAAATGCTTACACAAACTATCTTGAAATTATTTCAGCTCCTATAGAGAAATTTCTACTCCTCTGGGGAAGCAATATTTTAAAAAATAAAATTTTAAAAAAAAGGCAAGTGCTTGCAGCTCTACTCTGCAGCAGAATGACACCTGTAAGAGAGAGGGGTTTCAAGGGGTTTCACAGCACGCATCAAATCCAGTTTAGTGTACTGATAGAAATAAAAATTTGGTTCCATTTATGTCAATACCTTGTCCTATAAACTTGAAAATTGTTTCAGAAACATTTATATGAAGTTCAGCCATCCCTGAAAACAAGACAGCCTAAAGGCCACTAGATAAAACAAGAGAACAACTTCAGTCACCTAATACTAACACAGGTATATTCAGAAATCAGTACCTTCAGAACTCTCTGCAGGCAGGACAACACTATCTGCCTGAATATGACTGTTTTGAGTTTGCTTTCCCCAGAAAAAGAGTCTTATAACTATATCCCATTTGTGCCTCTTCCCCAAAAATGTAAATCCACAGAATGAATCCAAGAAACTTCGGCAAGGACAATCCTATGAGTTTTGTTGGAAGCAAAAGCAGATTAATAGAAAAAGACACTGAAGCAAAGGAAGACAGAAACACCATATGTGCGAGATGGAAGGCAAGACTATGTCAAAGTCTAAACTGCACAAAAAAACCCAAGTTTGGTTGGAAGCTACTGTTTCTTAAACACCAGTATCAACCAGTTTAGAGACTGAAATGAGTAGGAAAGCAGACTGCTGTGCTACTGGTACTCACAGAACTGTGTGTGCTTTTGGGAAACATCCTCGTAAGGTAAACAGCTTAACTGGAAGTCTCATTATGTCCAGAAGAAAAATACACTGAATAAGTACATAAATGAGAATAACTGGTGGGCAGGCTTAGCTTTAGGGAGTATGTACAAGTTCTGAATTTTGTGAGAGGTTATAAAATCCCTTCATCTATCTTTACCATGGTGCCAACTTCATTTTAGTTACAGAGACTTTCACTTCGTTATCTCTACACTTTCGTTGAGGGCTTAAACTTCAGTAGAAGCAAGAACAGAAGTTAAGAACAATGCAGTTAAAATGTAATCAACCTATCCAAAAAAATAAGTTACCTACCATTGAAGGGAACTGGCTTGTCAAGAGAGTGGTTGCCTTGGAAACAAAGTCAATTGGCAGAAATCTGATCATCTGATAAGGGGCTCATCAGGAAATCAACTGACAGAGGCTTTGATGATTTACAGAAGAAAAAGAACTTGGAAACTGGATCATCTCTATCCTTCTCATATAAAAGCAATCATAGTAGCCTCTCTGAAGAACACTGCTTTCTTGAATACACACAGAGTGTGAGGCCTTCCAAAAGGAAAGTGAGCCAGCACTGCAGAAGTGTGGTGGGTTGACCTTGGACAGATGCCAGGTGTCCAATCACACTGCTCTATCTCTCCCCTTCTCAGTAGGACTGAGGGTAGAAAACAAGACAGAGAAAAACTCGTGGGTCAAGATAAAGGCAGTTTAATAAAGCAAAAGCAAAGGCTGCATGCAGAAGCAAAGGAAAACAAGATTTATTCTCAACTTCCCAGCAGCAGCAATGTCCAGCCACTTTTCAGGAAATAAGGCTTGGATGCCCCACTTGCTCCCTTCCTTTCTCTTAGCTTTTATTGCTGGGCAGACATCATATTGTATGGAATACCCTTTGGTCAGTTTGGGCTAGTTGTCCTGGCTAAGTCTCCTCCCAGAATATTGCCCATTCCAGGCCTACAGTGTGGGGTGAGTGTTGGAGAGACAGCACTGCTGCTGTGGAGCACTGCTCAGCAGTAGCCAAAACCCTGGTGTGTTATCAACACCTTACTAGCTATCAATATAAAGCACAGTGCTATGCCCTGGGGAACATTAGCTCCATCTCAGCCAGACCTAATAAATGCTCAGTATTTTTGCCTGGTGAAAGAATGGGTAATTAAGTGAAAGTAGCATTTCTTCAGAAATCCTGCATGTTAAACATTTACTTGCTTGTTCTTGCCATGAGCCTCTTGTTAAATGGTAAACCTGCAAACTCTCACCCTTCAGTGGTATTCCAGGAAAAACTACATTTCTATGAACAACATCCCAGAGGCAAAGAATTGAACTAGTAATCTCCAAAGAAGTTAGACACAATAGCAAGGTTTGAATCACAAATGTGAATGTAAGATCCCAATAGAGGAATAGTGCTTGGGCTCTTTCCTCATAATGAACCTCAAACATCTGAGTGTGTAGCCACCTCTTTACTTGTAGAATAGGGCCTGGCAATGGGCCTGAATTTTGGGTCACACTGTTCCATACAGTTAGACCCTCAGCATGGTCCCCACTACAGTTCTGGCCCAAGAAAGGTGGTACTTTCCTTGACAAATTCCTGGACACAGGGCACAAGTAAGTAGAGGTAGGGACATTCCCAGCCAATACTTTGAGTGGGGGAAGGAGAGAATTAAAAACACTTTAATTGTATTAAAATAACCCATGACATAGCAGTTGGCCACTAAGCCAGAGACTAACTCCTTTGTTTATTGTTTATCAACCATTAGTACAGATGTATCCCTGGTGCCCCACCAGTTATTTAGTTACCAGTTAAGAGGGGCACACGGCCTAATACTAACAAGTTAATGCTTCTCTACAGAATTGTCTCTATCAAGCACCTGTGATCAGTGAGGTGGCAAAGCTTAACAAGAACAAAAAGAGAACATGATCATCTTTTCTGGATTGTCCAGCTTCAAGGCATTCCCTCCAGACACTATCCTCTATGGTTTATCATAGTTATGGTTTACCATAGTTTACTATGGTAAACTTCATGTAACACCCACATAGCCTTCAGCTTTGGGAGGCAGAACTAGATGACATGGAAGTGGGAAAGAACACAGGAGTACAGTAACAGAGATAGGTCAACAAAGGGTGAAGAACATTAGTTTTCAAAGAGAAGATTAGGAATAACAGGGTATGAGCAAAAGACAAGGGCCGTGGTTATGGAAAAGGTCCTAAGTCCCACACTATCTGCTTCTGCAAGTGCCAAGGCCTCACACAGCTTTGCTCATCCAGAGGTTATGTGTCTCTTCTTTTGCACCCATGTAAACTGAGTATGTGGACTCTCCTGAAGTACAGATAGGGACTGAGACTATCCCATGTAAACCAGTATCTGAACAGACTCCTACAATGGCAGAGAGCAACTAACACACGGACTGTGCATGGCATGCCCTGAGTAAACACTGAGAAAACCACTGAGAGTAGACACTATCTGGTATCTGGAAACAGATTTCTTTTCCATTTTTAAACAAGGAAATGAAAATTATTTACCAACTTAGTGATAGATAAGATAATATGATCCTGCAGAGCACCCCTGACGTTGTATTTATAGGTGTCCTTTGTTGGCAAATTCTATATGTGCGTTTAGGGCAACTTCTTTGGAGCAGACGGGTGGCTGAAGGCATCAGATCCACCAAACTCGTTTCCACTGACAGAAATAGAATAGATACTAAGCTTATGACCTGAGGACTTTATGAAGACTGGCTAAG